ATGGCACAATTTTGGACTGATCACACCCTAAGGTTGATACTGTAATTGTTACCTCCAGTGAAGACTAAAAATAGGTACTTTAGGTAAAAGTGCATACTGCCAACATTAAGCCAAAAATTCAAATGTTCGTCTCTGCAGTCGATAACTAGTTGCATACAAAGATGATCTATGGGGCCTTTCCTCAAACATGTTCCCATTGGTCAAAACAGGGTACTCTGTACAAAAAAACACGCAGACAGTCGACTGTACATATTTTATGTCGATCTTCCCTCAATTTAATGTTCCACACAGCAGAAAAATTGGAAGGTAAGTACAGTAATCAAAGATAGAATAGAAATGATGACCTCATAGTTCAAAGTCAACATTGGATTAGAATGCCTTTTCTTTGAGTAGAAACCTCTAGTCAATTTTCGCTGAAGTTTCATCAAAGTTTGTTCACCTTTGAAAATTTTGCGGCTGGTAACTATCCAGGTGCAGAGAATGAGCTCTCTGCTTTTGTTGTGCCACGTCAATTTTTCAACGAAGGGGTATCTTGCCGTATTTTCTATCAGTTCTTGGTCCATTCGGCCCGTTTTAATAATATAAACTGATAGATCTGATTCTAATCCAGTTAGAAATATTTATCTGCAGATGTGTCTTTGATTGCACTCACGTCATGAACAAAACAGCAACGTCGTAAGTTACAAAAACCCCAATTTGATTGCTGATAGAAACTTTGTCAGGCTCAAAATGGAGTGTTGTCAATTTAAATTGGATTGTTTTCACAATAGTCGTTTCTTATCATTTCGTCTGTAGTAATCTGCAGCAGCCATATTTTAATTATCGAAAAGACCAAACCGACTAATTACTAAGAGCTGCAGTCTGAAATTGTAGATGATTAACGTTGTACTTAAATACGTATAAAGTTTCATTCCATTCGTTGTACAAACGAACAATCAAACTCAAGCATAGCTTTCATTTCCAAGCTTGTATTAAATGTATAGCACGTTTGGCTCTGAAATTCCCGTCACGCACATTCTTTAGTCATGTACTTTACAACACTGGCTTTTTGCAGCAATTTTACAAGATTCCCAGTGTGAGGATGTACAATTTACTACAGCTATCATTCTGTTGTCTTGTTTCATGTGTTAATTTCACCGCTTTGAGAAAATTGAAGAAAAAAGTAGTGCATTTCAAAAGGTTAAAGCAAACTTCATGTAATTTGGCTGGCACAAAACCTGTTTAGAGAGATGGGAAAACACTGTGTGGACGTGTTGGAGTCCACACATCTTCTAACACTGCACATCTTCTATCACTACATAACGAAGTTAGCTGTAGGTATTCTTGCTTAACCAGAGCAGCATGACGTGCCGGTATAATTTATTTTCCGAACCAAAAGCACTTTTGTGCCCACTTTCTCAGCTTCCAAAATGAACAATCAACAGAAAAATTATAGAAGGTATTAATGAATATCAAAACCGCTGGAAAATCAAGTAGGCCGAAAGGGCAGAAAGCAGTGTCCGTACTTAAAACACGTTTACACACCGATGCAGCACACCGTTCACGTTTTTGAAAAAATCCTTAGCTGGAATAAATACAGTATGGAAATTTAATCTTATCTACAGCACTGCATGGATCCTTTTTGGGCTTCGACTTTGCTAACTGGAGAATTCAGTTCTAATTCATTTTGTTGTAGCCGTCTGACCTTGTCTGATGAGGGCATGCACAAAGCGGTCGTTTTGCTGATGATCTCTTGAAACTTTGGATGCAGCGTTCTGTGTAAATGATGCAACAATGCTTGCTCATTCAGGCAGAATGAAACTAGGGACTAGACCAAAACACTCTGAAGGGAGGGGTTGCACTGTACGGTTTCAATGGTTCCTTGCCATGTGCAAGGAATCGTCACTGTGCATCAAGTGCAAGTTGTCTGTTGGACCTCAGGCAGAAAAAGCATTCCATCCAGTGAAACTCAAGTGAAAGTTAGATCTTCTGGAATCAAGAAATTGTACTTGAATTCGTTTCGTCCCTTCTTTCAAGTGTTGGGGTAACGTTTCACTCCATTGGAATTGATTTTCGCTCAAATTGAGTAAATTCTCACCATTTTAGCTAGGGCACCTCGCTTTGTATTCACCTGCCACAGGTTGATACCTCCTTAATGATGCCAAAAAGCTGGCTTTTACTTTTCAGATATAAAGTGATGAAAGGAGAAGGTTGTTGCATAAATCAGTTTGATGACATCAGTGGAAACAGGGTAGATTTCATCTGTGACCCACACCTTCAAACAATAGGCGTCAGTGAAAATGAAAATGTAATATATAATTATATCCCTTGTTTTAGAATTAGCAAAGAAAAGAAAAGCAGAGAGGTTGCAGTCATTCATATTTTTTTTCAAATACCCTTACCAGAAGCAGAACCCACAACAGACAAACTGAATACCATACATAAAAATGTTCTGTCCGTTGGAACATGATACACAGTGCAGTGTCACTCGCAGGACCAACCTGAAAGCATTGTCGGAGGGATTGTCAAATGTCAGGTTTTGTACCTGTTCCCACCTTTGGATGGTGAACCTGAATGTGTGGAAGAAACAGGATTTTTCGTCGAAGAAGAGGCGTCGGAGCAAACACTTGCCCTCTGTTGTACCCCAAACTTTAAGGCCCTTCGAAACTTTTCATAAAGTTATGTCAGATGATCCGCTGAGCAATTTGTCAAGAGCGCTTTTGAGAATTTGTTCACTGTCTTTTTATATAACAATTTGGATGATAATCCCCACGGATACACTTCAAGACGTCCCTCAACAGGGACTTCCATCAAGGAATTTACCCCATCTTTTTTTAAGCTCAATTGCAGCTTATTCCTAAAAGTCTAAACATCCTGGCGCATTTTTCTCGTTCCTCGCTCTGCTACAGTGCCATTCTGATCTTTGAAAGGCTCATTATATGCAAATGATTAAGAAATCAGTAGCCCAGATCTTTCTGAACTTGTATGTAGGCAAAGAGAATGTGTGACGCTGTGAAGCATTTAGGGCTGGCAGAAAGTGGTCTCTCTTCATGTCAATCAACGATAGAGATCGAGTGTCCCTTGCTCCCTGACGGCTGTTTTTGAGGGTGAATTTTTTTACAAAAACTACCGTGAGCTAAACAAGTTTCATATCGTCTGTCGATACTAGATCTGGACATTAGCAACATACAGAAAGGTAACGTAGTTGCAATCGAGAAGTTTCAAGGCTTGTGTTTTGTTATAGATCCCTTAGGAAAGATGCAATTATTTCATTCACTGGTTGTCCGGTCGGCTTTTCCAAAGGGTGAATAAGGTCTGATGTATATATCGACATAAGTGGTCTTAAGAGAATAATATCGTGCGTTTGGAAAATGGGATCTTTAGAAGTTATGCTCGTTTTGGGTTTTCAAAAACGGTTTTTAAACGTGTTACACAAAAACGATGCTCCGTTTGTGTCAATTTACAGAGGTCAACAATAAGTTGTGGGCCTATAAGAAAAGAATGTGTTCTTGCGTTTCTCTTTGTGTGCATTTAATGTGTGACCAATTATTTCTGTATTCAGATGGCTATCGTTTGGCTCTTTTGCCTTTTTCTGGGCGTGGCCGTTGCCCAGTGGGACGCCTACACCATGTACGATAGGCAGGTCATCGTGCACCTGTTCAATTGGAAATGGACAGATATCGCCAAGGAGTGCGAAAAGTAAGAATTACGTTTTTTCTGTAGTCTTCCATTTTCGTTCAACGCCAACCGCACACCATCCCGGCTTTACCGGTTCGCTAACCTTTACGATTCTGTTGGAAGATTGATGGTGGGATTCCACTTAAACCTATAGCTAGGTCACACTGTCACAATTTTGGCCAAAACCTTTTTTAAAAGCCTGGCTGAAACTTGGCAAATCGTATATAAAGATATATTGGTGGTCCTCATGGGTCGTGAAGGGCATGTTATAACAATCGTGGCGCATTAAAGTTTCGTTTGAAAAGGTGGAAAAACCTAGTCTATTTTGTAATTCAGTCTGCGATATTCTGACGGGTATCATTATACAGAAAGTCATGGCCGTCCATGGTTAGTCTTACGTTTTTAAAAAAAAGGTACTAAGTTTTAGGATGTTTTGTTTCAAATATAATGCATGTAAAAACTACACAAATTGTTCACGAAGAGTGAATAATTATCCGTAATCGTCTATTGCCATAGGGAATTCCTGATTCTAGTGGACTAAAACCGTCCACATCGTACTAGATCGTGAGTCCGTATATAGTCTATTGCTAAAAAGTATTCCTGATTCTAGTGGACTAGAACCGCCCACGCCGTATTAGACCATCCGTCTGTAATTGTCACCGTAGAATAACCATCAATAATCGATACCGATATTCCCAACACATCACAAGAAACACGTGCACGGTTAAATGGGGCTATCGTGCAGGAAAAATCGTTACAGTATGACTAAGGCTTTAGCGACCAGCCAGTCATCAGCGTGCACTATTGTCCGACGTCTTGAACAAAGCTAGTCAACGGCTAGAACCAAAGGGGTCGAGCGAAGCGGATTTAAACCTTTTAATTTTCTTTAAACTGTAATCAAGGAAACATCCGGCTGACATTTGACAAACTTTTGTATGGTGCCATCTCTCATTTATTCTCAAACGTACTAACGGTACTCTTGCGTTGATATGTTGAATTTTATATACTCACCTTAACTCTCATCATCTAGTGCTAAAAAAAACTATAAGACCCTTTTGGTATTGCAACCAAAAAGAGCGAAAACTTCAGCTGAATATTTTCATTGCCAAAAGTCATAAAATTTAACTTGTTTAGCTTTCAATAAGCCATCAAAATAAAAAGCTCTCGAAACTGACTGTATTAATGTACATGTCTATCAATATCGTTGTAGACTATTCAGTAAAATCGTTGGAAGTAGTACAGTGCAAGGTGGCAAAGTATTTCCAACATTGAAATCCTACGAAAATAAAATCGTCAACTGGAAGAACTCAAATCTTCATCACTCATTTTAACGTGGACTTTTCTGTTTGAAATCTATTTCATTTCACCATCTGACATTATTTGATGAAGGCGTTCATGAAGTGTGCCTCTTGCTGATTATCTCTTGAAATTTTGGACACGCAAATGGTCGCGAATGGTCGCGAATCAAACGCAGGGCTCTGGAAATGATGCAATAGTAGGCCTACTCTATTAAAGTCAATCTCCAAGAATACATTCAGCCATTTTTGAAAAGTTTGTTGTTTAGTTTTGTATTGAACTAAAGTAACTAAAACAACCATGTTATGTTGTGCTCATTTCGTGCATGTCTCTCCATGTCTTCAGTTGGTTAGGACCTCATGAATTTGCGGGAGTTCAGGTGTCCCCTCCTAACGAGCACATCATCTTGAACCCGGTGCGCCCGTGGTACGAGCGGTACCAACCCATTGGGTATGGACTCAACTCACGAAGCGGTAACGAAGCCGAGTTTAAGGATATGGTGAGCCGGTGCTACAAAGTTGGCGTTCGCATCTATGTGGATGCCGTTATTAACCACATGGCGGCCAGCAATCCCGATGGAAACGATGGTGAGTACTTTAAAAGATGGTGTTCCTTTACTTTCACGGTGATGGTGTCTCTTGTCTTTCTGGTTCCTCATAAGGAAATTGACGGATCGCTACAAATTAAAAGAGAGACTACAGTTAAATATCAAGGGAATAAATACGTGCTTAGCCGGTAAAAAAGTGCCTTTCACACAGGCTCAGGAGAATGGATGCAACTGCGGCACGGCATTTTCAGCGTTCATTCTCTATTATACACAGATGCATGGGAGAAATTTCTATTGCCTTTCTGGACACAGCCAAACAGCCCATCATTGTTAGGCCAGAGGTGATTTATAATGAGATTCAATTCCCACCAATGTTAGCCAAGATCCCAGTCTAAGGCAATCGATCAGATGAAATCCCAGCCACATTATTTGTCTGTTAATTGTTATACCCTGTGCGTGACTACTACTGGGAAAGTGTAACATCATTACGTTCCCCACTGATTGTACGAGGACAATCTAGATGTAACAATAATATGTCAACTGGCCCAAACTTAAAAGAACTTCATTTAAGCTAATTAAAAAACAATTGAAACACTGAGAAGGGGTAACACGCACCACCCTGTCTGACTGTTGGCACGTACAGTCAGGACTAGTCCCTGTGGTACGTCGGGGTACTATAGTCAGTGCATGTCCCTCAAAATCTACATAAACAACTGCTTTATTAGCAAACTTCAGTTTAAGCCACGCCCACTGCACATGTACTGCACATAGAGTTACATGTATTGATCGCCGTTTACATGGAAGCGTGGAACCGGCAGTTAACGTGCAACTCTAGCAATCATTCAATGGGAGCCTGCAAATCGTGGCGCATTTTTGTGAGGAAGTTACTTAGGAACCGGATATTAACTTGGCGCGCGTGGCGAGTTCTGCATGCAACGGCGCACACATATTCTTGACCAATAGCAACGGATTAATAAACTGTCTTGTATCTAGCTGCCAGCGCGTTTTTAAACTGTCTTGTATCTAGCTGCCAGCGCGTTTTTAAACTGTCTTGTATCTAACTGCCAGCGCGTTTTTAAACTGTTTTGTATCTAGCTGCCAGCGTGTTTTTACGCAGAGGGCAATATCAAATGCTAAAACACAGTCACGTTACGCGCTTTTGAATGGGAAACCTGTGGTATTTATGAATTAAA